AGATCCAAGTCACATCATTCAGGTTGAGGAAGTAGAGCTGAGACCTGATTTATCATATGAGGAGGAGCCCATTCAAATCTTAGAAAGAGATGAGCGAGTTCTTCGGAATAGGCGTATTCCAATGGTTAAAGTTCAATGGAGTAACCGAGGCCTCTCAGAAGCTACTTGGGAGACATTGGAGTCAATGGAGGCTCAGTTTCCTCAACTGTTCTCATAAGGTAAATTTCGTGGACGAAGTTTCTTGTAGAAGGGGAGAATTGTAACAACCCGAATATTTACAAAATAATATTTAATTGAAATTGGAGGTTAATTGTGAAAATTGGTAAATTGTTGGTGACTAAATCAAAATTTATGAGAGTTTATAGGCCATTTTAGAAGTAAAGGAAATCCAGGGACCAAGCCTTGAATTTACCCTAAAACTGTCGGCAACTTTGGGTGATTATAAGCGTGCATTTGGTTCTGATTTTCAGAACCAAAATGCTCCCAATTTTCCTTTCCCATACATCGTTTCCAACTCCGATTCCGACGCCGTCCAAATTCCGATCGTCGTTTTAAAACCACCGTTGTGTTCATCATCGAGCGTGGAACAAATCCTTCAATTTAATTGAAGCGAAACGCTGCCAAACGTCGGGAATTTACAGTCAAAGTCTCGACGTTTTTGTTAGCTCTATTGCCGGGAAAATCTTAAATTCACCGCCGATCGTTGCTCCGTTTACGACACCTCCTGCACCATCGTGTTCCTTGTGTCGTTTCGAGTCCGCCGGTGTCAACCTTGTTGGCCGTCGACGACGGCGCGTGAGGAGGTGGAGCAGTCAAAGATTCGGCCGAGTTGAAATCGAGCTCTCCGCCATTCAAAAGTTTGAACCGATCTTTGTAAGTATCTCGAAATCGCTTAAAATAATTTTTAGAAATTTTTCCGGAATTTTTAGACCCCCGGAGGAGGCCTCACGCGCCACACGTGCCGCCGTAGGGAGAGTGGAGGGCTGGAAACCGGTTTGACCGGTTTCGACCGGTCTGAACCGATTTGAACGGTCTGACCCGACCCGACCCGACCGTTGACCGTTGACCGTGACCGTTGACTTCCTTTGACCAAAACTTAAAATGGCTTTGACCGACCCTTAAACGACCGTAAATCATTTCCGAGTATACCTATTCTGATAGTTTTCGACGTCCCAAATCCGTTTCCGAAGTCTGTTTCATCAAATTCGAACCCGAAGGCCTCCAAATTGACAGTCAATGTGGTTGACTTTGACCAAGAATCTGAATTTTCGAAAATTCATACTTTATGATTTTCGACGTCATGATTCCGATTCCGCAATCCGTTTTGCCAAATTCAGACTCGAAATACCCCAAAATGATAGTCAAACCCAAAAAATGCTTATATACTTAAGAATTTTAGCTTTGAACAATTAAGTAAGATTTGGGGCTGATTAATTATTATTGTTTGAAGGTACAAGAGACTCTCCGGATCGTTCGACATCTCGACCCAACTCTTCTAGATCAGTTAAACCACGTATACCAGTATTCACCCGTTCAAAAACTGTAGCAGAGCATGGTGAAACCAGCAATCAGTAGATCTACTATCTGAACCCATTATCGAGGTGTGTTCCTGTTTACTACATAATGGTTTTATATGTTTTGAAATATGGTACATTGAAATTTATGGATTATTATTGTTGGTACACCGGTTTATTGTTGATGATTTATGGACTTTGATGACTGTATATGGATATTGATTTTGGGATGTATTGAATTACAATTGTATAGCTCTGATCAAGCTAATAAACGGGCCTAATGTGACTCTTGAGGGCCCCAAGATGTTTCATTAGGTCGGCTTTCCTTTGCTGTGTGCTTAGGGTAAGCTATATGGACTTATTGACTTGGGCTTAAGGATACAAGCTTCATAGCCTATCCTTAAGTCGGCTTTCTTTTTGCTATGTGCATAAAGTAAGCTATATGGAAAATAATTTTGGGAACTACTAATGGTGTACCAGGAAAGGGTTTAAACTATGATTTTCAAAAGTTAAACTCTTTTACGAATTTGTGAGATTTATTGGACTATGATTTGTTTAATGTACCTATTGTGATTTTATGGTAATGTTGGGACACACTTAGCCTAGCTCACTTTTCGAAAATGTTTTTCCCCTTTCAGATACTGTTGGTTAGATACCTCGGTTTGAGCACTTGGAGGATCAACATATCTCTTGAAGTATATCTGATTGTAATATTTTAAACTTGCAAGTTGACTTTATTCTGGTGACATGGATCTATTTTAAAGTATTGAATTTTATAATGATGATACTTTTGCTATTACTATTCAGTTTATCATGGTTTTGATTTTTAAGATATGTTTTAAATTAATTTATTACTGATTGGTTTTATATTTAAGAGTTGAGTTTTAATAGTATAATTTATTATAATTTCATGTCATGAATAATGTGGTTTTACATTGATTGGATAACGGTTTTGGAAAATGTCTTTGTAATCTACTAGACTTAGTCGAAACGCATAGGCCGGATCTAGGGGTTACAGTTCATTCAGTATTCGGTTAAAATCAAATTAAGACACCGACGATTCTTTCTTTAAAAGCAATTCATCAAGTAACTTCACAGCATTAAAAAATGATTATTTTTTAATATCCTAAATTCGAATAATTATATTTATAGAATATATACGTGCGGTTTTTTAGTTTTATTAAAATAGACAAAATTTGTCAAAGACTAAAAGATTGCGAATCGGTGCTTTCAATGAAGCATGAACACAAAATCCAAGTACCGAATTACACGAAAACGAAGATAAATACTACAACTAAACTACTATGAACACACGATCTTAGTACAGTGACCTAAAACAACATCGCTAACGACAAACCGACAAACAAATCAATCCATTTCAACTATAACCAATCAACAACCCGACAAAAATATCAATAAAATACCATAAACGCATGACCATTACATATTGACCTACAAATAACATCGTTGCTACTTGTGAAACCGACACCATTGTAAGATTATATTGATGGGCTTCCTCAGTTACAATAACCATGAATCTTTATTTCTAACTCTTTAATTAATCAATCCAAATCTCCCCTTGCCTCATCACGCTACGCAACTATTGATCTTTTTGAACTTGACATACACAGTTCAATTTGTTCCCTTAAGTCGATCTCCATGTACTTGCCTCATCGTATCTTTAAAATAACCAAATAAATATGGTGTGTTTTCACTATAGCAGAACTTGTCTATAATAGTATTTTTTTATCCTATAGTGGCGTTTAAAAGCGATAAAAATACTACCGGCACAAAAAAACGCCGCAATTGTTAGTGGCATTTCCTACTAATAAACGTCGCTAAAAGTCAGGTTATATAGCGAATTTGTATATTAAAACATTGCTAAAGGTCAGGTTATATAGTGGCATTTTATTATACAAACGCCGCAAAAGGTTCGCCATATAGCGGCGTTTTTAGGCACAAACACTGCAATATGTTTGATATTTATAGGTATTTTCCCGCAACATGTTTGCTATTTCGCAACAGATTTGATATTTAGCAGCGTTTCAGGCTCAAACGCCGCAATAGGTTGGTCATTTAGCGACGTTTCCCTCCTAAAAACACCACCAAATATGCACTCCATTAGTGGTGTTGCCCCCTAAAACGCTGCTAATTAAAACTGATTTTCAACATATCTTCTTCCTATTTTGTATTACCCAAATTTAACATATAACCTGTAACAATATTCAATAATCATCTTAAATTTAATTACGATTCGAATTAAGTAATAATGCATAAAAACATAAATAAATCAAAGTTTACAAACATCCAAGTTAAATATAATGTAGTTCAACATTATTCAATAACATAAACAAAGCATTAACCTAAGAAAACGCTAGGATGATGAATTCTTCATTTGATTCTGTTGCATCATCTTTTTCATAGCTTCAATTTAATTTTGAAGTTCTTCATATTTTTTCCGAAATGCTACTTTTCTCTCTGTTTCTCTCGCTGCTCTCTCTGCTTCTCTCGCTTCAGCTTCGGCTTTCATTTGAGCAATTTTGTCATCAACTTGACTCAGCTGTTGTTTTAATCGATTAACTTCTTGTTGAGAAGACTGGCTATGTGATGGCATTTACTAAGACGAGCTGGATCCAAAATATTTGGTTGGAGTAACGAATGATCCCTGACAGCGAACTCGACCATATCTTTCAGAACCAAAAACTTCAACAATAATTTGATATTTAATCTCATCCGCACTAATAGAAGCATGAGATGAAGTCGTAGCTTCATACTCTACCCTTTTATCACTCATTTTTTGATAATCAGTTAAGAATTTAAAATAAATTCAACATTATTTAAAATAAAAATGTTTTACTATAAATATAACATAGTGCAAATTTTATGTCTAGTAAATATACCATAATTTCTGCAGCTTCAGGAGCTATAGAAGAGCCATCTTTTTTTTGTATGTGTCATTTCGAAGAGTTTTATTCGTCCAACTTTATTGTCGGACGTGATTTCCTACAATACAGAATATAAATTAATACTTACAAAAAGAGTAACAAATAATAGAAAAAAATTAATTACTATATGCTAACAACTTAAAATGACTATATGAATAATTATAATTAAAAAAAGAATACATGTTCATGAGCTACACGAGCAAAGCTCTTCGATCCAGCAGTATGAGTAAAATTTTGTTGTTGTTTGCTAGCAATACCAACGTGCTCTCGGTCCTACAATTTGAACTCCGCATGACTTATAAAGTCAATAATATAGTGACATAATATTATTTATAAAGTGCGCCATACCTCTTCTTTCTTTGAACTCCAGAACCTGACTGTATCTTCCCATAATATAGTGACATAATATTATTCAAGGTGGGACATTGTGCAACTTTCCTTCAAGGCTGAGATTGCTCTTAAAATAGTTATTTTTTGAGAAACTCTTGTGATCTCTCCATATCTTTCCTAACACTTGCTTCAAATAATCATTAGAGACCTCTAAAGAAAATTTCTCCTATAAATCCCACAAGTGTTGAAAGTAAACATATATTACTATTGAACTACAATGAATTATTTATTACAATGAAATTATTACCTTAAAGCAATCTACAACCTGGTTTTTGCTACTATTCTGCATCTCACGCCATGACTCATAATGGATCAGTAGAAGACTTGCATTGCATACAATAATGCCTAGGTAACCTGATAGAATACATGCTTCTGTCCCAATAGGTTGATCGACATCGTTACTTGAAAATCTCATGCGGTCCCCAAGAGAAATTTGGTACAATTCCTTCATTATCGTACAACCTCTACTCTTGCGCCTCTGACCATTTTCAGCTACAAAAGAAATAATTTAGTGTAGGTTTTCAAAATCAAGTCAATAAGAAAATCAATCGCCATTTAAATAAAGAGTCGAATATTACCTTCAATTTCTACAGTTTCTTCAACTGTATTCGGAACGTCTGTAGATCCAACACCAATCGACTCTTCATTATTTGTTTCTTCCTCCTCTTGAGGAGCTCCAATAATCCACAGATCACTTAATTTTCTCCTAGGCATAATATCTGCAATAAACAAACAACAATATTAGTAACTACCGATGTCTATCAAGTCTCTAGGGGTGTTATGAAGTACAACATACCATGCAATTAAAGTGTACTTTTTCTCTTAATTAAAGTTTTAATTAGATTTTCTTGATAAAACTTCTAATGAGACAATATGTTATGTGTATTAAAGATGTGTGCACTCTTTACTTCACCAAGACTTTTAAAGAGGCAAAAGGGAAAACGAACATAACATGCAATTAAAGTTCTCCTTCATGATTACGTAAGTTATACAACAAAAAAGCACGAACTACCAGGAAAATGAGTTCGCAAACCCCTGATGTGAAGATGGCCACCTGCAAAATGAAAGAACACTTTATAGACAAAAGATATGAGTTACGATAACACCGAATACAATCAATCGACATCGATATTCAATAGTCAAACCATGCTGAAGTTTTCGTACTTGAACTAAGTTCAAGATGACAAGATTCAGTACAAGCAAATCATGATTAAAGATGAGTAATTGAACATCCAAACTACCAGAACCAAGGCAACTATACAAGTCATTTTGCTACCATACGCAATGTCATGTTTCTATATTGAATTTGAATACGAAATTCTTATCAGAACCAAAGTCCATTTATCGAACCGACTGAAACCATTCACAAGATCTGTTCTGTTTCATAATCATGATAACCTTAACCAGTCGCAATACATTTAATCATTCCATATTCATCTCGTTACTCCGTTGTTATAACGATCACACTCCTAAAGTTAATCATACCATGTTGAACATACAAGACATTGTAAAAGCTTCCTTACCATAGTCTTATTAGATAAAAACATTATCCCGCATGGTAAAAAAAACTAATGTGACTCCTTCAAAACTTATTATTCACTAACTATGTTTTAAAAGGCGCGAGGCGCTCCAAGGCGATTAGCTGTCCGAGAGCCTCAATTTTTGAGGCGCTTTGAGGCGAGGGATTCACGTACGCGAGGCGCTTCTTTTGAGTTCCACATAACCTTTCCCCCTCTCTTGAATTCCAGAAATAATTGTATTGACACCATGATCCCCGTCACCCCTACTCGGCCCTACAGACTGCCACTGGATCAAAACATCATCCGTTTCAGTTTGCAACTCACCATTCTGCCCCCCAATAGACTTCTCATTCCCAACCCACTTAACAGGCCCAGTATGGTTGGATTTCCTAGTTGAAGTAGGTGCAACACCATAGTCAACCGAGCGTGCAGAATCATCCGAGAAGTTTGTATTTCTCGATTCCAGACCCACGTGCTTCCCACTTATTTTTGTCCTATTATCACTTCCAACTGGCAGCCCACTAACTTCTAACATACTTGTTTTAACATTGAGCCCATCTTCTTGATCAGCCTTATCTTGGCCCAAGGTGACAACCCCCATGCTTAAACTCCTTTCTCACCCATCAATACAAACCCCCGACACAATCTGTTGCCCTGGAACTCCACCTAATACTGTCTCCTCAGAACATAAATGGGTAATTGTACGTGAATCGCTAAAAGCATCGCCTCGTCGCCTCTCGCCGCCTCCGACGACTGAATCGCCACCTCATGTACTCGCCTCCGCCTTGGTGGTCGGAGGCTTTCTTCTAAACGCCTCTCCTCGCCTAGCACCTCAAAGCGCGCTTTTTAAAACACTATTCACTAATAATTAAAAGCTAACAAAGAAACATATGTTTTACCTAAGCTACATCAAAAATCGACCTCCATAACAATAATCCGAAATAGCATCGAAACTAATAAGATGTGCATCCATTGAGATTGAAAACACTATACTGCTAGAAAAAGATATTTTCTAAGAGAAAGCAACCTTTCCAAACTTTCCACCAAATGAGAACAGAGGGAAACACCTGCTATAAAAACAAGAATCTAGCTGCTGCCACTTCTACAAACACAACCGTTGGAAGCTGAACTTAAGAGCTGCAAGCATTGCCTATGAGCAGAAAAATGACAACGATGCCCAAATCCAAGCAAGAAAACCAACTCCCACCCTAAGTTAATCGGCAGTAATTAAATATATCCTTATTTATAGAAACCCCATATTTCGCTAGCTTGTTTGTCTCAATATTACAACTTCTAGAGGATAAACCAATAAACCAACAATTCATTTTAAAAATTTGAGAAATTATAAGAATTCTTTTAACATAAATTATCGGGGCTTTAGAAGTGTTGACTATCATACTAATTGCAACTTCACTATCGCTCTCAACAATAAGTCTAAAACTCGCATTCCATTGAGACGATAGGGATAAAGAAACGGCATACTCAATAGCCTAGATTTCGGCTTGAATATGCAAACCATGACCAATTGACAAGGAGAAAACAAAGAAAGTAGAACCATTTTCATCTTTTAACACACCAGCAATTCCATCTGCACTTCCATTGTTTCTCATAGCCTCATCAACATTAAATTTTAGAAAACCAGATGGGGGAGTCATCAATTCGAAATAATCAGCCTCTTTACCTTATGGTTAGATATCCTTCGAGCATACAAGGGGTACCAAACCAAATCCTAAAAGGATGGAGGGGCCAGAGGAAACTTTGCCTTTGAACCACTAGGCCAACCTAGTCTTCGTCCAAAAAACCATTAAAAGTTAAAATTCATTAATGGAGACAATCAATTGATGTTTTTACTAACGAAAGGGCTCAAATGTGTGTAAAATTATATAAACATATATCACTACACAACTTTGAATACACTACACATTCCCCTAAGAATTGCCTTCATTGTACATGTCTTTTTTAATTTCCCACCATTACCCAACAAACCATAGAAGAAATCCTAAATGCCATTTAATCTCGTGAACTCTTCAATAACTTCACGTTCATCCCTAACACGCTAATCACCATATAATCCCATGTTTTAAGCAAGTTCTCTACACGTTAATCTCATGAATTCTTGTTGCTACAAGATCCCATAAAGATCATCATATGGAATTTCAACAGGATCCCAGAAAGAACAAGAAAAACCCAAAAACAACAGTTTTGACCTCGACGGCGATGGAGAAGAGAGACATACCTGTTGTTGACTGGAAACAGGCGACGACGGCGTGATGCTGCGCTTGTGATGATGGTTGCCCGAGGTGACTTCGTTCTGATAGCTACCGTTGGTTAGGAAATTTAAGAATTTTGAATGAAACAATTAGGGATTTGTAACATGATGGTTTAATGAAGGAAGTTATACGGCGTGACCGTTTTGTTATTATTTAAATAATAAAATTGGTAAAATATTATCTAAAATTTATTATTTTTACATAAAACATTATTTTTTAACATTTTTGATCATTTTTAACGTCAAATAATATTTTCGGTCATTTTTTAACGCATAATAATGTTGTCGGTTATTTTTTAGTGCCTAATAATGTTTTTGGTTATTTTTTAGCGCCTAATAATGTTTTCGGTTATTTGTTTAGCACCTAATTATGTTTCCAGTTATTTTTTACATGTTTTTTTATTTAAATAATAACAAAACCGGTAGCGCCTTTTTTAGCCGTATATTAAGATTGTCGCATGCGAGCATTCTCTGGTTTAATGGATTGCACAATTGTGGCGTTTATAATAAAAATGCCACTAAAGTACATGACTATTGCGGCGTTTGAACAAAAAACGCCACTAAAGTAAAAGTCTATAGCGGTGTTTATTCACAAATGCCACGAAAGTTTGAGTCTTTCACGGCGTTTGATTAAAAAAACGCCGCTATACAATTTTATTGCGTTGTTTGTTGAAAAAACGTCACTAAAGTACTACTCTGTTGCGGCGTTTGTTGTAAAAAAACCACTATATATGAACCCCATTGCGGCATTTTTATACAAACACCGCTAAAGTACTCTTTGTTGTGGCATTTGTTGAAACAATGCCACTATATATGAACCTTATTGCGGCGTTTTGAATTGAAACGCCGCTATATGTTTAAAGTTAGTAGCGTTTACTCTCAAAACGCCGTTGTAGAACATTTTCATTAAAATGAATTTGAGGTGTTTAGGTTAAATGGTATCTTTCTTTTTACAGGTTTTAGTTGCGATACTTTGATCCTTTCCTTGTTTTGGATAAATTCTCTAAGTTAATTCTCTTGTTTTATTCTCCCCTTCTTTCTTTGTTCTTTTAGTTTTGCTTTTGTTTAATAATTAAAAAGTGAATTTAACAATATATTATTTCAGTGTTTAAAAGAATGATAGTTATTCTTAAAAGTTTTGGGTTTAAGCACCAGAGACGACATGATATTTGAGTGTTCATTGTCAAATGGTTGAGAGTTTTTAAAACATATATTACCACTTGTAAGCATCCTAGATTGTTAAAAAAATAATTATTGTGACACTTAAGAATGAGTAACATTTTTTAGACGGTAAATAATATATATATTCCATTTTTTGTCAACTATATATTGTATCGATTGGGTTTTAGTTCAATTGATATTTCTTAGAGTTAGAGATTATAGATTTAAATACATTTTAGTGTATATACTTATATTTCTAGCCTCATCAAAAATCAAAAAATTTAATTGAACTTCGATCAATTTTATAACATTTTATTTTTATCTCGACCTGAACAAAATCCAATGTGACTACTAAAAATATGAACTTCGACAACAATATAAAAAAGGCAATATATGGTCAAATATTGCAGCTGATAGTCATGGCCATTAAAGAGAAAGGAAGATGGTGAGGGTGGCTTGGGGATGGGAATGGGGCTTGACAGTAACATGAAAGTGGGTTTCTCTGTTTTTGCCTTACAAAATGGCATTGGGTAGGTTTCCCTATGCATAGTAAATGTGATGCGAGCCACGTTTCACAGACAACCCCTCTTAAATAAATTATTGAACATACTTACAAAGTATAGATTTTTAGATTTTTTTTATCTTTTAATATTTATATACATTCCACATATGCTATTTGAATCCATATATTTGAAAGAGATTAACATTATTTTTTATCGTTGAGGTGTCTACAAATACAATTCTCAAACCTAAAATATTAAGTGAGGATAATATTTCTTTTTACTACTAAGGTCACTAATTTACAATTATTTAATGATTTTAAATCAATATAAAACAAAAGAGTTTTATGCAATTTAAATATATTCTATTTTATAATATAATATTTATATTTAATACATTTTAGTGTGTAAATTTTCTACATAAAATTTATATTTTTTTATAATTACTTTGTGGGCCCTATTATTCATTTTTATGATGGTCATTGATCATCCCAATCCTCCATTCACCAAGGTTCACAATGCTGCAAAGCAAAAGACATATATATATGAGCCTCCTCCATTTAAGCCTTGACTATCTCCCACTTTCTCTGCTCTTTTGATCATATTTTTTTGGTGTGCTCTTTCTCTCTCAGGCATATTCACAAACACATTTCCTCCTCAAAACTTTTCCCTGTAAACAACTACCATGGGAAGACCTCGACAGCGATACCGCGGCGTCCGTCAAAGACATTGGGGATCTTGGGTCTCCGAAATTCGACATCCCGTCTTGTAATTTCCCGTTTCGTATCAAGAAAACGTGTCCAATATGATTGTTATTATTATATATTTCAATGATTGAAACATTCGTTTATTTTTGCAGGAAGACTAGGATATGGCTAGGCACATTCGAAACAGCAGAGGATGCCGCAACGGCATACGACGAGGCTGCAAGGCTAATGTGCGGTCCGAAAGCTCGAACCAATTTCCCATACAATCCCAATGATCCTCAATCTTCTTTGTCGAAGCTTCTCTCGGCTACCTTAGTAGCCAAGTTACATAAATGTCACATTGCAGCACTTCAGTTGGCTAAAGCAAATGCAGCAAAAGAGCCTTATGCATCACAATGTCACCCTTTAACTCCCTGCCGTGGCATTACCGTAAACAATGCGGAAACGGATGACCGACGGCAGCCGGAGAACAAATGGGATGCGGTAGAAAGTCCGGTGGGGAGTGAACAACAATTTATTCCACTAGAAGATGATGATATAGACCAGATGATAGAGGAGTTGCTTGATTATGGGTCTATTGAACTTTGCTCTGGTAGTTCTAGTTAAAGGTCTAGTATCTGTATGCATTTCTCCAAATGTTAATGCAGCTTCCTTTTCCTTCAATTTCTCTAGTTCATGTTGTATTATTATTAGGTAGTAGGATTGGGTTCAGATGCTGCATTTTTGCAATATTAAGTAGCATAAAAATATATAGGGATGAATGTAAACGGATAACTGAGATTATGGGGTCGAAATTGATAATATTTTTTTGGGTTTAATTATGATTTAAAAATGAAACAGCGTAGAATTTGGAAAGTGAAAAAAAACTGAATAGGAATCGAAGGTTCAATTCTTCTTTTAAGATGGAGCTTTTGTTCCATTTCTTTACCTTTCTGTTCTTTGGGGGCAATGAATAAAGTACAGTACTTTGCTTGATTATGCCTCTCCGGTGTGAATGCAAGGATGTTATGCTTTCAACAAAAGATATTGAAAAAATAATTTTAGATTTATCTGATCAAATATCCTCAAATTCATAAACTTTAAAGTAATATGATTATGCCTTCAAAATATCAATATTGTGGTTTTTCTCTCTCTAAATGTTTTTTTATACGTTAAACACAAAGCATATTTAAAACACGTGAACGAAATTTTGAATATAAATGAACTTGTTACACGAACAATTTGGATTAGACATGTTTTTTTTTTAAAAATAACCCTTCTAAATTTTAACGGTGTAATCCATGTTTTTAACACGTCACACATCAAAATTATCCATGCGTCAAATATAGACAAATTTAAAATTTGATTCATGTATTTTAAATATATTTTATATCACATTCAAATTGACATTAGTGAGGACTTAATTGATTTGAGAGTGATTCTTTAGAGACTTAATTAAAACATTTTGAAAGTTGAGGAAAAATTCAACTCTAAATCATTTTTTTGTCTATGCAATTAACCCTTTAACTTTCATTTTGAATAAAATCTACACAGTGCAAGACAAACAACTAATGTTTTTGAACAGTGTTTTGTCTTTTCTTGTCTGAAAAAACAAGAAATGTGATGGGCGGGCCAATGTGAAAGAGGTTTGAGATGCATCGTCTCCCTCACTCAACATTCCCTGTATTTTCCCACTGCTTTTCTCTCTCTCTCTCTGGTTTAAAAAAAAAAAATTCTAATTGAAATCTGAAAGTTTTCTTTTTCATATCCATCCATGGCAGATCCTTTGATTTCTTTAAAAGAAACAAATTTGGACTCTTTGTAAAAAAATTATTTTGAGTTCAAATAAAATTACAAAATTTCATGATTGAGACCAATTGTTTTATATTAAAACTATTCCACTAAATTATTAATTTTTAAGGGTGTGATCGTACTCTAAATATTTTTTGGATTCATCTCTAAATTAGAGTCTCATATATTGAAACCTATTTAATTACTTGTACCCTACAAAATATTTGGAGATTGGGCTTTAGCTAGCAGCCATCATATTGAGAAATCATTGTTGATTTCATTTTACTCAACCTTAGGGAATTCATTGTATATTAATTAAAACCAAACTGTTCACACTTGGGACACATATGGCCTAACAAAATTCAAGTATAATTCCTAAAGAAGTAAAGCATTGTTCTTTTTGGGAAAAAGATCTCTTATCATTGTATAAATTTATATATTAATAATGGATTATGTGATATTATATGTTAAGAACAAATTATTCGCAATTTTAAATATTATAGCGTAGGTGTTCTCTCTAATAGGTTAAGATGTGTGCACGTTGTCAATCACTAAGAAATACCATGAATATATATTACCTTATAATTACCTCAACTATTCAAATATGATAAAAATAAACAATCAAGGTTAAAGATTGCAATAAAAATTCAGGGATTAAAATGACTATGTCAATCAAGTTAAAAGGCTAAAATGATCATTCTACCAATATGAAAATATTGAAAGAATAGATTGAAGAAGTAAACCAAAAAACTTTTTTTCATTCATCGTTCATAATACACTACATTGTATTTATATAGTAACAGAATTAGCATTAGCAGCTCAACTGAGTTTGTTAAATTTGTTAAGTCTAGTAACTAATCTTGCTGAGCTGGATAACCAATTTTGTTGAGTTGGCAGCTTCCAGAATATGCTCAACATCCTCCCTGCTGCTTCAATTCTTCAACATCCTACCTGCTGTTCCAAGCTTTCAAATGACAAAACTCCCAGCCTTTGTCGAAACTCAATAAACCTGTCTTTTGCCAGAGCCTTGGTTAGTCCATCAGCTACCTGGTGCTCAGTGGGCACATAATTGACCTTCAACTTCCCAGCTGCAACCTTTTCCCTAACGAAATGAACATCAAGTTCAACGTGTTTGGTTTTTGAATGATACACAGGATTTTCACTCATTGCAATTGCACTTGAGTTATCGCACCAAATAACAGACGAGGCTTGTACTCGAATACCTATATCTGTTAACAACGCATCCAACCAAGTTACATCCGATGTAACGTCAGCTAAGCTTCGATACTCTGCTTCAGTGGTGGATCTTGATACAGTTTTTTGTTTTCTTGAACTCCACATAATAAGATTCCCACCTAAATACACACAGCACCCGGATATTGAGCGTTGGTCATCTATACTACCTCCCCAATCAACATCTGAAAAAGCTATAAGCAGAACCAGCTCTTTACTCGGAGAGAACACCATACCATAATCAAGAGTTCCTCGGAGATATCGTAGAACCCGTTTCGCTGCTGCAAAGTGTTGTTCCCGGGGTGCATGCATGAATTGAGCCAACTTGTTTACACTAAATTCAATAATCGGCCTTGTATGACACGCATACAAGAGTGATCCCACCAGGCTTCGATACTCTTTTGCATCACTCAACTCATCACCTGAATCTTTGAAAAACTTCAGTGAAGAAATCATAGGTGTAGGAGTTGAAGTAGCTGTATCCATTTGCATCTTGGTTAGCAACTCCATGATGTATTTCTTTTGGCTAAGGAAGATAACATCACCTGTATGCTTAACTTCAATGCCAAGAAAGTAGTTCAACTGACCAAGGTCTTTGAGGAAAAACTTATTGCTTAGCAAGACAACTACCTTCTCAATCTCATCCTTCGAGCAGCCAGTGATGATTATATCATCAACATACACCAGAATGTATATCACTCGCCCTTCTTCTTGCTTAATAAAAAGTGAGTTGTCAGCTTGCGAGCTCTTAAAACCGATGCTGACCACATAATTCCTCAATTTTGCAAACCAGGTACGCGGGGCTTGGCGAAGACCATACAAAGCTTTATGTAGCTTGCAGACCAACTGTGAACCATCTGGAGCAACCTTCTCAAAGCCTTGAGGCTGCTGCATAAACACATCCTCGTGAAGCTCACCATTCAAAAACATTATTCACATCAACTTGCCTTAGCTCCCATTTGTTTGGACTGCAAGTGCTAACATGACATTAATGGTAGAGGCTTTAACCACCGGGCTGAAAGTTTCCTGAAAATCCTGTCCAGGAACTTGTGTTAATCCTTTGGCTACAAGTCTGGCCTTGTATCTCTGCACCGATCCATCAGCATTCTTCTTTACGCGAAAAATCCACTTGCACCCCACTATAGATCGCCCTTCAGGCAAATTAACAAGAGACCACGTGTTGTTCCTCTCTAGTGCTTAATACTCCTCATTAACTGCTGCCTTCCACTGAGGGGACTGTAACGCCTCATAGATTGAGCTTGTGTAACATCCTCCATGCCGGGTTAGTGATTAATTTGCAAAGTTTCAACATTTGGTGATTTAAGTAAAATGATGGAAGAGTGTAATGATCTAATTGAGTTATTTGGTGTAGGATTGAATTATAAAGAAGGGGAATTAAGAGGGTAAAAGAGTAATTGAGTAAATGAAATAATTAAATATTCCTTGGGGATTATATTAGAACCCACGTGGGCATTAGGTTTCCAGAATCCTCTCATTTCTTCTTCCTTCTTTCTTATCTTCTTCTCTTCCTTCTCCAAACGTGGAGCTTGCAAGTAAAGGTAAGAAGCTGAACCTTGGTAGTTTCTTTGATTTTTAAGATTTGAAATGAAAGTTTGGATGTTATATAAGCTAAAGGAAAGCTTATATGACATTAAAACAACAAGATAAGTGTTTTAGAGATAGATTTGGAAAATGAGTTTTTAGATGAAATTTTGATATGGATGAGTTTTTGATGTTTGAATAAGATTTTTGACTTGTCAATAAGCTAATTAAGAAGTATGAAGTAATAGAATTGAAATTAGAACAAGTTGGAATTGGAGTAAGATTCTTCAATTCTATATGGATGAGTAGTTTTCTTAGTTTTAGCGGTATTGAATGGATAATAATTAGTTTAAATAAGTGTATGAGAGCTAAGAGTATTAAAGGGAGTGAAATATGTATATTTGAGCTGAAAGGAAAGAATTTTTGAGCTCAAAATAGGATTTTCGGGCTAGGGGAATCGGTACCCATTCAAGGGGAACCGATACCCCCTCAACGAATATGAATTTCCAGAATGCTAAAGGGGAATCGATACCCCCAGGGGGGGAACCGATTCCCCCGTGAGAAAAAAAAAAGAGAAGAAAAGAAAGAAAGACTAAGCTATTAATTTCTTAAATTAGTAAGCTATTAAAGCTTAATTTCAAGACATAGACATCTGATGATCATCTTGAAAATTATGTTTATGTAGATACCGAGCCTACACGAGTTCGGGAACAATCTACAAGTAGGATCGATCGAGGAAAAGGCAAAGAAGTATAGGTGAGTGCATATGCATAGCATGATTATAGAAATATACTCCATTCTAGACTTGTGATAAGTCTAGATTTTATATCTTGGTACATGAGCATATTCGGTATTATGAGACATGACATGAGTTCATATAAAATGCATTATATAACATGAATATGTGGGAAAAGTTATGAGCTATGTGAAAAGGTAAGGAATTACATGTCTACGCGATATAGACTACGTGAAATGTAAAAGCCCATGTTATGTAGATGAGAACTATAGGTATAGTTGGCATGCCAAGGGTAGAGGGTCTATGCGGTTCTTTGGGACATATGTATATTCTTTGGAACATGTGTGAAGTCTTGAAAGACACATACTTGATCCCTAGTATATGTATATGATTC